TTTTTTTTTTTTTTAAATATACCAGAAATCAAACTCAGGACCTTGTACTTGCCTGGCAAGTGCTTGTGCTGCTGAGCTATATATCCCTCACCCCTGGATTTATTTATTTATTTATTTATTTATTTTTATTTTAGGGAAGAGTCTACAGGGTTTTCAGGGTCTCACTGCTAGATCAAACTCGTAGTGATCCACCTGTTTACACCCTCCCAAGAGCTGGGATTACAGTCGCATGCCATCAAGCCCAGTCTCAATTGCTATCTCAGCACACCCCAGGGATGGGGCCAGCATAGCAGGCCTGGGGATTGAACCCCTGGCCCCTGCACCTGCTTGCAGGAGCTTTAATCCACTGAGCTTTTTGGCCATGCCCCCCCATTGATTTTTTTTTTTTTTAATTCCGTACTTTGTTGTATGTTATGGGTCGGTGCCGAAAGAAACGACGAGAAGACCTGATGAATGTAGCTTTAGAGGTCTCACTGAGATTAGTCTTTTTCTAAGTGAGCCCAGAGCCACAGAAGCATCTCACTTTTATTGAGGGGTAAAGGCAACTAAGGAATGTGTATAATTACTTAAGTGAATATAAACTACTATATCTATTAACTTCCACCATTTGTCTAACACTAGGCTCACACAAATGTTAGCCGATAACATCCCAAGCAAGGGATCAAAGGACAGGGCGCCTGTAGGAGAAGCTGTTATCTGCTGCTTTGGGTCCCAGCTTTTTGGGAATTTGTAAACAGACAGCAACCCTCCTCGGGCTCAGTTTAGTGTTTCCTATTCTCTTGGGACATCAGGCTTTTGTCTTAAAACTATGTCTATACAATTCCCCGCTTTTGTTTTTATGCTGAAAGTTTTTGTAGCATCAGGGGGAGGACTGCAGATTTTTGGTCTATGGCTTGTTGTTGGACTCGTCCTCATTGTCAGATTAAGCAGGATATACCAACAATACAGAGACAACATAGATAAATCACTATTATATTTCTACTAAACCATGGAGTAACATGAAAAGGATTAAGGTTTTTAATGTCATTTGAGATGCTTTGTAACAGATCAGTGCCAGACAATTTTGACAATTGTTTTATAAAAGTATTATCAATATGTTGGTGAAGAGACAGGATCTCAGAGGTAATATTACCACGATGCAATAAATGTCTTTTTACATTTTCCCATGGAAAAATGAGTTTGATTCCATGGAATTGGAGTTATACAGAATGCAGAGGTATTTTAATCACATTTTAAACGAAGTTGACGTTGTAGAATAACAATTTGATCTCCTAGCATAACAACAGCTTGCTCTAAATCATTTATCTTTGCATCTAACTCTGAGTCTATGTGTCCTTGAGAAGTTTATAATTGTTTTGAGTCCTTGTGCCACTGCTGCACAAAATGAACAGTTTGTATACCTTGGCTCAATGCTACTCCAGCTGTAGCAGCTGTGACTGTGATGGCGATTATTTTTAAAACTATGGCTATCACGAGTTTAATCATTTTTTTTGTTTTCTTTTTTAACACCTCCAGCAAATGTTGGAACAGCATCATGGAAGGGGAGTCTTGCCAC